CAGNATATATTGCGTTTATAATTATTATATTTAAGTATATTTTCAGTGTATGTTTGCGTTTATAATGTTTTCAAGTATATTTTCAGTGTATGTTTGCATTTAATGTATCGAAAAATGAAACAACATAAATTGACTATATATCAAATAAACATTGAAAATAGTATATTTCAGTATATTTTCAGTGTATGTTATCGAAAACTGAAATAAAACTGACTATATATCAAATAAACTGTAAAATATACATCAAATAAATATTGAAAAACAATATATTTTACGTTCATCATCAGCAAGGATGCCATGGTGGTCGCGGGATGGCTCAGGAGGACGCGGGTCATAGACTATACATATACTGCACATATATTGTACATATACTCCAACACAAAATCATTCTCCGGAATGATATTTTTCTTCTCTCTCGTAGATTCCATGTAGAACGATTCTCGGATCGCCTATCTGGTGATGACACCAGCAAGCACATCTTTCATTATTCCCTGGCTTTTTTTTTTTTTTTTTTTTTTTTTTTTGAAGTGGAGAAAATCGAGGGAGAATCGAGAATTTCGACCAAACTGTAAACGGATGAGATGTGAAACTAAAAATCATATGAATAATTCACTATCAGGGATTAAGAAGAATTGAATGTATTGGGAATAATTAACAGGGATGATAATTTAGCAATTCTGTAATGTTTTAGGAAATTGTAAAATAAATAAATAAATAAATAAATAAATAATCAGCATTGGCAGAATTGAAAAATAAAAAATCCCAAGGCAACGAATAATATTCTTGAAGTTCATGCTTCATAATCACAATTTTTTTCCAGTAAAGGTGGACGATCTGATTTAATCGGATTGGAAGAGATGGCTGACTTGTGTGAAGAAAAGAGAGAGAGAGGATCGTGCGTGAAGAAGAGAGAGAGGGGGGAGAGGAGAGAGACGTAGTTTATGGGAAATTACATGTAAATAGGAAATCAGTTGATGGGAAGTTACCATGTAAATAGGAAATCAGATTTTTAGGCATATATGCAAATAAATTTAACAAAATTAGCTAATTTATAAATAATTATATAGAGGATGTAATTAGGTAATAATTTCAAATTAGTTAAGTGGAGCGTGTAAATTCCTCAAAAAAATAATAATAATAATTTGAGTTTTGTTGCCCAGGCCCCAAATCACCGGCCGGTACGGGCAATTCATTTCATTCATTTATTTTTTCAATTTGAACTGGAACCAGCTCGAACAAAATATTGTGGTCAAAGGTCCGGACCGGTTTCGAACCTTGGCCTAAAAATTGATTTTAATTTTAAAAAGTTGATAGGTTAAAAGGGAAAAGGGAAACGGGGTCCTATGGAATGTTTGTGTTTCTAATGATAGCACCCAAAACAATATTTTTCTAGTTTAAATGAAAATAATTTTCAGTGGACGAGCTGGATCAACATCACAGTATGTGGTTGTTCGAAGCTAAAATTAATGGAAAGAAGGTATGTATTGGAGGATTGGGTGAACTCATTCTAACCATTCTTTTTTCTTTGTCATATTTTTTTGCCGTTGATAATTAGGAATATTTCGTCACAGTGAACGTTCTTTGCTGATATTGTGCGCCCCTTTTTTCAAAAAGAATCAGACACATCAATTCCTGAAAGATCTGTGGAGGTTTGTCCGTAGGTGCTGCCATTATCATTGGTCTGTGCAGTGGGCACCAAGAAAGCCCGGGTATGTTTTTGTATCTTTTTTTATTTCACGTCGTTTTCCCTTTTGCCCCAGCTTACTGTTGGTTGTCTGAATTTTGCTATACCATTCATCCCTAGTCACTGGTAAGATTAGCTCTGCTTTTTTTATTTAATCATTATTTGTCTGGCTATAATTGGAAGAATTAATGATTGGGTCATACGATTTTTTCCCGGATTTGCTGTCTGCAATGTAGAAATCCCTTCATACACGTATGGGCAGTTCCAGGGTTTATTACCGTTGGATCAACATTTTTACTTGTGTGTGTGTGTCAGTGGGTGTAATTCAACAATGATAAATCCCATGTGGGCCAGACGGGTAGGATCGAACTTAACGCATATTCATGTGATTGAAGCTAAGCATTTTAACCATTCAATAATCATGCACCCATTGTACCAAAAAAAATAATCATGCACCCAAAACAAACCTATAGGCCATGAGTTGCTTCAAGAGATGTGCTTTTGCTATAAGCTTTTTAAGTTTTAGCTAATTCTGAAAAATTGTCCATTAGTTCGTATGAGAATGGTTTTCAATATTCAGAATAATATAGTTTACCCACTTTTTTTGGAAAAAAAATAAAATAAAAAGAGGAAAATGGAAGAAGATATCTTTAGCCATATAGAATCCTCACTGAAATATGACAGTCTTACTCTTTGCTTATTTTATTAACTATGTAGTCAATTAAGAAAAAAAGAAAAGAAGCATGGTGCATTTCCGTATTCTAGAAATAGTTTATTGGGTCCTAGGAATGGCTTCTTAGATCCAAATATGTGTTTCATAAACAAGCATAGTTTTTGGATTCTAGAGATGTGCTGTGCCCAAGGAACCGAAAGTAAGGTAAAAATGGTCTTTTTTTTGCATTTTTCTGGCCAAAATCCACCTGTCTATTCACAACTATTTGTAGAACTTGGAGTGATATTTGTGGTTATTTGAATTTAAGCCAAAATGTGAAGTAAAAAAACAGTTTCGGATTCCTATTAAATTGGTTGCTTCCCATTTTTTTTTCAGCTTAAGAAGAAGGAATATTTACCTTTGCTCGGTTGGTTTTGATACAATATGTGACTTTGATATGATTTTGTTTTGTATCATTAGAAGATATGATAGTTCAAAGTTTATTAACAGCAGTAAATAAATTCTAGTTAAACTAATCTATGCTGTCAAAGAATGGTTTAACGTAATAAGTCGAGATGATTCCGGACCTGGTGCACTTTTAACCACCCACTCAGGATCATTAGAACGAACGGTGACCATTTGGAAGAAAAACAGCACCTTATCTTCTTTGGAATCATTTGTGTATTTCAATGATGTTATTATTGCAGTGCTGTAAATATCAACACAGCTCTTGGTCATCTTGACACCTTGTCATGATAAACTGTGTTCGATGTGCCATTTACATCATATCATCCCCATAATGTCAATAATAATAATAATAATAATGTATGCCAGCCATAACATTGAAAAATACTTGCGTTATAATGACATATAATCAGTTGAATTCTTTTCCCCTATTCCACAAGTTAAAGCTTTATTTTCCTATTGGCATTGATATCCTGTTCCCGTTTTTATCTTCATTTTCCTTGTTCGCTCACATAAATTCAACAGGCTTAAAAATAACTTGATAAGATATCAGGACAATGCAAAAACTCTATCATGCACTAATCATATTCCTACCAAAGTAAATATGCATTTTATTTGATTTCTCATGCTATTGTATTACTTTTAGTTATTGGTTAAGGTGTCGTATTTAAAATTGCCCTTTCACCAATTTTTCTCTCACATGGTTACAATCCAGCGATGTCCTTCTCATGGAGCGTCTGAAAATAACTATATGGTTATATGCCTTTGCTGTCTTTTCCAAAACTTTTCTACAAATGTTATGTTAATAATTCAGGATATGGACGAATGTTACTTCTACAAATGGCAATATCATTTTTCAACTGATCTTTGTCGTCACATTCTTAAGTTTGTATTTATGTGTTGCTTATATAATTTTCCTGGTGGAAAAAAATGAAGATATGAGTGAGTGGAGAGGCTAATTATAATAATAATGACAGAAATTTTAGCATCACGTCAGTCCTTTTCATTTATCTTTTTTAGCAATTTATTTCTTTTTCATTTTTTCTTTTCAGTTTGTTCGTTTATGCATTTTGATAGTCTGCACTATATAGTATTCGCTTTGTTTTCACTATAAAATAGAAAATAAATTTAACAACCGTCCGAGTCATCTCTCTCATAATTAGTTATTTTTCTCTTCTATGAGTATTATGGAGCTTCTTTCTTTTGTTCCCAAATTTCATAATCTTGAAACCTGCTTATGTGTTGGTTTAATACTATTATCGAGCCATACAAACTCATTGCTGTTGAATACAACTCCACGTCCCTCTCCATTTCCTGATAATTTCCTTTTTGGAACTTCATCTTCGTCCTATCAAGTATTTAAACATCTCTATTTTGCTATAACATTGTAATTATATAAGCAATGAGTTCCTGCTTGTTTATGTGATGTTTTTATCTCTCTTTTGTTTCTTTCAGTTTGAGGGAGCAATATACACAGATGGTAAAGGCCTCAGTAACTGGGATGTTTTTACCCACAAGAGTGGTATGCATGTAGCACTTTATGTCCTATTTTCAACTCTTCTATTGTATGAATATTTCTGGTTTTTCGGCAGGCAATATCTTGGACGGGAGCAATGGAGACAAAGCTGTGGATCATTACCATCGTTATCTGGTAATTATCTTGAATTCTTGATGCTTGATAGCCACTTATAAT